TTTGCACTTTTAGTGTCGGAAATGCCCTGTACAACAGCGATCATTATCCCATTTTGTATCTCTTGCACGAAGAGGAGCAAACCCCATGTCGAGACTCCCTCGGTTTATACTGGACAGGCCAGACTGGGAACTCTTCTCTTCCTCCGCAGAGCTCACAGAGGAAATGGTAGAAGATGTGCATATCGATGACGCTGTTGAAGCTGTTACTAATACTATTATTCAGGCAGCTATGCTGTCCATTCCTAGAACATCAGGAAAAATGCTTAAATATACGAAACCGTGGTGGAATCGCGACTGTCATGAAGCACTGAAAAAACAGAAAAAAGCATGGGGTATTTTTCGTAGATATCCTACTCTGCGAAACCTCATAGCCTTTAAAAGAGCCAAAGCAAATGCACGAAACGTAAGAAGGCAGAGCCAGAGGGATTCCTGGATTTCATATGTGTCGTCAATAACATCCTCTACGCCTAGTAAGCGGGTTTGGGAAAGAGTTCGAAAAGCATGCGGCATATATAAAGACCACTCACTTTCTTTTTGGAAAAAGATGGCCGAGTGATTAGCTCCATAGAAGAAATTGCGAATACTATTGGTGAGACATTTGCTGCCGTTTCTTCCAGCAGAAACTATTCACCTGCATTTCTCTCTATCAAGCAGCACTCTGAAATAAATCCCATCGCATTCAACTCTTCCAAATCTGAGCCTTACAATAGAGACTTTACTATGCTTGAATTAAAGGAGAGCTTTGTTGCAGACACATAGGTCTTCTCCGGGTCTTGATGGCGTGAATTACGAAATGCTAAAGCATCTGTCCTATAAGTCACTGACTGCCCTTCTCAAACTTTACAATAGAGTGTGGAAGGAGCGTACCTTTCCCAGTGCATGGAGGAGAGCTGTTGTCATTCCTATTGCTAAGCCAGGGAAAGATCCAAGGAATCCCTCCAACTATCGGCCAATTGCCCTTACGAGTTGCCTATGCAAACTGTTTGAAAAGATGGTAAACAGCCGCCTAGTCTACTTCTTGGAAAAGAATAATATTATATCGCCTTATCAAAGCGGTTTTCGAAAGGGAAGAACGACCGTAGATATAACATGCTTCTTTTAGAGACATCTATTCGAAAAGCTTTTGTAAGAAAAGAAGTCACCTTGTCTCAATATTCTTTGACATTGAGAAAGCTTATGATAAGGCATGGAGATACGGTATACTTCGGCGATCTTCACGAGAGTGGCTTGCGCGGCAACCTACCAATTTTTCATTCAGAATTTCTTGAACAAGCTAGAACTTTTCAAGTAAGGAATTGGCTCTGTTTTTCGGAATGTTTTTGAACAGGAAGAGGGTGTGCCTCAAGGCTGTGTGCTTAGTGTAACGCTGTTCAGTTTAAAAAAATAAATTCTGTATTAAAAGAACTTCCTCCACCATCTTGGGATCTCTATATGTAGATGATTTACAGATTAGCTGTCGAGGGCAGACATGAGATACATAGAGAGGCAATTGCAGATGGCTCTGAATAAGATCCAAGGAATGGTCAGACAAACAGGGATTTACTTTTTCGAAAACAGAAAACTGTGTGCGTGCACTTTTGTAGGAAGCGAGGTCTCCATCCTGAACCTGAGTTATATCTGAATGGTACAATTATTCCAGTTGCGCCTGAAGTAAAATTTTTAGGAGTGACGTTCGACCGAAAATTGACTTTCCTTTCTCATGTTTTAAACCTGAGAAAGAAGTGTCTAAAAACACTAAATATTTAAAAGTGTTGGCGAACACCTCCTGGGGTGCAGAGCGTTGCTCCATGCTTCGCATTTACAGAGCGCTTATCCGCTCTAGACTGGACTATGGCTCAGTTGTTTATGGATCCGCTCGGTCATCTGTTTTGTTAAAACTGGATCCTGTTCACCATCAAGCTCTGCGGATTTGTTCAGGAGCTTTCAGGACTTCTCCTGTCCAGAGCCTATATGTTGACTCTAACGAACCATCACTTTATCTGAGGCGTGAGCAATTGTCCCTTTTGCAATATTTTAATATTCTATCTCAACCTGAACATCCTAATAAGCTGTGCTTACTTGATAATGAGTGTAACACATTATTTGAAACACGTCCATCCTGTGTTCCTACCTTTCCTTTAAGAGTTCGCCCTGTCATTGAGGAACTTTCCCTCTCTGATATGCGCCCCCAAGCAGTACAGAATTTTGAAATCCCACCTTGGGAAAATTCACGGATTCAGCTTCTTGATGTTTTCAAACATCACGTGAAGGCAAGCACTAACGAGATCGTTTACAGACAACTCTTCGCTGAGCACAGGCACAAATATAGCAGTTATCTTCCAGTCTATACAGATGGATCCAAGTCAAATGATTATGTTGGGATGGCGTTTGTATTTCAAGATCACATAGAGGGCAGATGTTTGCACAATGGTTTCTCAGTCTTAACATGTGAACTAACTGCAATCTATTATGGTCTTTTGTACATCTCAAAGCTCTGCCACAAAAAGTTCATAATTTATACAGACTCGTATAGTGCTCTTAAATCTTTGGAAGCTTTTCCCAACACTCAAAATTCTGTAATAGTGGATGTTCCTAAAAATACATATAAACTTGACAAGTCGTGGATATGAAATCCTGTACTGCTAGATTCCTGGGCATACGGGAATAAAGGGAAACGAGCTTGCAGACAACGCGGCAAAATCTGCTGTTGAACTGTCCAGTCGTCTCATCCCTTTTGGAGACATCTGTTGTGTTGTGAAAAACAAGATCGGAAAAAAATGGCAGCAACTTTGGGATGTTCAGCTTCAAAATAAATTAAGACATGTAAAGCCTAAAATTGAGCATTGGGAATTAACCAAAAATCGTAAGGAGGAAGTTCTTTGGACTCGCCTCAGAATTAGCCACACTAGAGTTACACATAACTATCTTTTAAAAGCTGAGAATGAGCCTGTTTGTTCAAATTGTAATGTTTGTCTATCTGTCCGTCATATTTTAATTGAGTGTCCAAGTTTTAATAGTCTTCGTCAGAAATATTTTAATAGCTGTGACTTACCTCTCGACCGTTTAATCGGAAGAGAGGTCAATTGTAATTTATTTTATTATTTAAAAGAGACTGGCTTTTATTATCTAATGTAATTTGTTTTGAAGACTGTGTCCTGAATTTTAATGTGTGCTTTTAACTTGTTTTTATGACTTCATCCTCTGGATTTGGTACATTTCTCTACTTGTTTTTATTTATTGAATTTTAATGTCATCTATTGTAATCATCTCATCTCGTGTTTGGCGCGCCATAATCATCTTTGGTTTTTGCGCCATAATCTCTCACTCACTCACTCACTCACTAAAGTTACGTGGACAGAATTGACGGCATGTTTTCAGCTCAGTATTTAGGGTTAGCATAAATAACATAATTTTTCATTTATCGCGCCAAAATGTCGCCAAACAAATTCCTGCCCAAAAAGACTAATACTAAAGCTGTGCCCCATTTTTTTTTATTTGATTGGAAAAAAGTAATAATTTTGTAAACTAAGTTTTGTAGACTGATACGTCTCTAGGTTTACATCGATGTGCTCACTGAGATTTCTTCTCAAAAAGGTAGCTGGAAAGTATAATAATAATTAATCCTTTAAATTTTTTTTGCTTTCTTTATTTCTTGCCGCAATATATTTTCATTTATGGTGTGAAATTTTTTTTATTCTCCATTTATTTATTTATTTTTTTAAATTTCTGACAGTAAAGGAACATTAAATACTTAATGAATTACAAAAATTCCTGAAATCCTCTTTTTAATTTAATTTTCATAGATTGCCAGTAATAATGACGATACCAATAACTATTAATAAACAGAGTATCATTTAGAATATTTTTTTTCATTTCAAATTTTCTTAAAACTTAGCAATAAAAAGAATGCAAAAGTTATTTATTTTTATGGTATGCAATGCATTTTCACATAAGTATACTTGATAAGTATAAATAGTAGTAATGGATAAGTCACTGGCAGGTGAAAAACTGAAATTGCTGATTTAAATTTATGTGCATGAAACTGATTTATAGATCAATTTTTCTTTTTTCACTACTATTATTTGTCCTACTGTTTCACTATTATTTCTTGTCCTACTGTACAAGTAACAGTAGTGAAATAGGAGTCATCCCTGATTGCACGCCATTGCCAAACAACAAGAAGTAAAACAAGAAATATGAATATATTATAAAGCCTTTTTAGCAGCATATACATATACGCTCTTAAACAGATGGCAATTAAATCAAAAAAAGAGAGATTAACAGTTACATCGAAACAGAAAAATAATAATGGGCATTATAATTTGAAAAAAAAAAGCATAATTAAATAATATAATTAATATAACATGATAAAATGAATGTAATAAAATATTGAAAATTCTTTAGTCTTTTTCAAAGAACAGTCGAAGAATTTTTAACAGAGCCACGTTCTAAATTATGTCTGGATGACTGTGAATTCTTGAAATAATTCAAAAGAAATTCTGAATAAAAATAATTTAATTAAAATTATTAATTGCAGTCTGTTAAAAATTCAATAAAGTAAAAATTTTTAATTTTTTTAAAATTTAAATGAATTATCAACAGAACAAAAAGTGCTGTAAAAGTAAACAGCAATAGAACAAAAAGTACTATGAGAATAAACAGCATTGAAAAGAATTTCCGAAGTCAGAAACCAGAAAACTGAGCCAGCAGAATAAAATGTCGGTTCTAGTCTTGTAAAAGCAGCTATAATTTTCTCTATACTGCGTACTACTTCCAATGAGCGCCGCAAGTGATCAGCTCCATGTAGTCGGCCCCGATTAGCCGCATAAGGACAGCCAACTCATGTATTGTCGCAAATCTTCCACATCGACGGGGGGAACCACGGAGGAGTTCCTATACTGAAAATAAATATTGGATTCTAAATAATTAGCTTCACTCTAATAAAAATTTTGTTTGCCTTTCAGTAATAATAATTGAAATGAGAATCATGTGATGACTGTAACTATTCTTTTTTCCAACAGCTGGTACTCGTGCTACAGTGATTGCTTTTGGATCTGAAGCAGATATTATCTTCAATGTGGATGACGCAAATATTGCAGGTCCAGTGGAGGCTGACAGAGCTCTGGATCAATTAGAAGTATATATTTCATATTTATGAAGTGAACTTTCATTTACGAAATGACTTAATAGTCTGATATTGACGAAGGAATTTTTATGAGAATATATATTTATGGTTATAGTTATAGTAATGAAAGACTTCCAATTGCTTAAGCTTAAACTATTCCCACCTTTTTAATAGATCTGATAAGAAAGCTTGTAAGATTCGCTGTCATAAGCCCACTTTATAAATCGAAACAAGGTTATATCCAGTTTCAGGCTTTCCCAGTCGAAGCTTTTTTAAAAATCGTTCGATTTCAGCTTATCTACCCAGGTTCAAAGTTAAATAAAAAAATGTGACCGAAACTCACGTGATTGTGAAATATGCACGAAATAATGTGTCATTGATTTCTGCTCCTTAAACTTCGCATTCAACACACATAGCCCGGGACAGACAGATAAGCATTTTCCCTTAAAAAGCGCTCCTTTTTTGGGTATCCTTGTTCAACGCACAATTTGTTTTGGATTATTTAAAATACGCAAATTTTCCTTTTGAGTTTCTTATTTAAAAGGAAAACGATGAGAGTGTTTTCTTACTAATAAACGTTTGGTAGCTATGAAGCAAAACAGATTTAATGAAGAGTGAGTGAAGACAGTTTGGATAGGCACATTGTAAGGATCTTAAGTTTTACTAACGTTTATTTTTATTTTAAATCTTTACTATCACTTCTTATTTTCTACTTCCGGCCAGAATTATAAGCGTGAAGGAGTTTATGCAAAGTTGTCTGGCGAACGCCAAGTATTTAAGTGTGGCCTTTTTGCCAAGCAGAAGAGAGGAAGCCGTGAGTTCGAAGCAGGCCGCTTACCTTAGAAGTTACGCAGTTGCTACTTTGCCTTCCAGGCCAGAGGTTTTAATCCTCTTGATAAATTAAACGTATTGTAGTGTTCACAGTCTCTGTGCTACATACGCTTCCTGTTATTATAAGGCCAATCTTATTCTAAAGTTAAATTAGAGTTTAGTTTTATTTTGATATCTTTTAAGTTAGACCCCGAGTGGAGGGTCATTGTATTCCGAAGTACGGAAGTCATTGTATATAAAGAAAAAATAAAGGGTTTTGTATACCCTTCGTCTGTATCCTGTCTACTTACTACAATTAGTGAACATAGCTTTAGTAAGCTCTCTGTTCTAGTCAGGTCCATTGTATGTTTCCGAAGAAGGTTAGAAGAAACATTGAACCTGATAGTGGCGCCCGACGAAGAGATAACCATGGCCGAGTTTCAAGAAGAACCTGTGCTGCCTGCAGAAACAGCTCAGAATCCAGAAATGCCAGCTGCCGCCCTGGAAGGATTTGGGTACATTCGTCCAGACCATGCGCGCTTCGATGAAACCAGAAGAAGCAACGTTTAATGGAAACTCACACCGGTAACCAGTTTTTTGGAAAAATTGGATGACCACTTCATGCTCTACCCCGTGCACGAGTTTCAAAAAGTTACCTTAGCTACCAGCGCTTTGAGGGGCCAAGCGCTTAACTGGTTCAAATGTATCGGCAGAAGTCTCTTGGGTCAAGCAGGAAGTCCCACCTATACTTACGAAAATTTCAAGACTGCCCTACTAAAAGCCTTCCCTGTTGTAAGGGATCGTGCGAAATTAGAAACAGAACTTTTCAGTATATATCAACAAAGAATGGAAAACCTCTCGAGCTTTATTTTAAGAAAAATTCACGTTTTCAAGCTCTTGTATGGAAACCGTCCGGATCCTGAAATAATTCAAGTGATTTTGCCGAGGTTACTACCCCAAGTGCAAGACTTTATTGAATTGAGAAATCCGACTACACTGGAAAAATTATTTGAGCTAGCAATCCAGTTTGAGTTTGAAAGTAGAAGAACGGCGGACGTCGAAAGAAGACGCCAATATCAACAGCGAAACCAATTTGGTACGCCAAGACTACAGCAAACTCAAGCACATGGCTACGGAGAAAAAGCGAATCAGTGGGCAAGGAAACCCGAGCATTCAAAAACAGCCGGCGAACGTCGACAGTTCAATAGCAACCCAGGAAAAAAGTCTCAAGGCCAGTGGAGAAAGAAGGAAAGCACCGAAAGGAAAAATAATTTAAACTAAAACGGATTTCTGCTGACGAGAGGGTGCGGAAATCCGAAGGCCACGAAAACCCCTCTTCCTACAAGTTAAATACAGTAATGGTGAAAAATTTAACTCTTCCGAAGATTGAAGTCTTGGTAAATAATATCCCGGCCACCGCACTCCTGGATACCGGCGCGCAGTGTTCCTGTGTGGCAGAAGTCTTTTTTAGAAAGTATTTTCGCAAATACCGCATATATAATGCGGATAATACAACAGTATTAGCGGCGCAAGGAGAACAATGTAAGTGCGTAGGTAAAGTACCTTTGTACATCCGTATCAAGGACGAACAAGTAAAGGTGATGTTTTTTATAGTAAAGAATTTGCAAGCACACTTAATACTAGGAATAGACTTTCTTTCAGACGCACAAGCTACACTGGATTTTAATGAAGCGTCTCTTAAGCTGACATGATGAAACCAGTGCGTGTAGAAAAGGTTGAACCGCCAAGGTTAAATCTTGACCACCTGCCTAATGACGAGCAAGATAGAATCCGACAAGTGGTAAGTGAATTTGCTTCCTTATTTAGTGATATTCCAGGATTTACCCAGGTTACTAACCATAGTATTGACACCGGAGATGCATTGCCGGTTCGTCAAAAACCATACCGGTATGATAAGAATAAGGAAAAAAAATTATAGAATGGCATATTACCGATATGCTACGTAAAAAGATCATAACGCCTATCTCAAGTAGTTATGCTAGTCCGGTGGTTTTATGTAAGAAAAATAATGATTATCCTTTGGAGCATCCAAAAAGGTGGAGATTCGCTATTGATTACCGTAAATTAAATTCCATAACGAAATATCCGGTATATCCGTTACCGATTATAGAAGAAATTTTAAGGAACATAAAATCAACCAAATTTATGACGACTTTAGACTTAACGAATGGTTATTTTCAAATAGGGATCAGGCCTGAGGACGTGCCTAAGACTGCTTTTATAACCAAGTCTGGCACTTATGCATTTTTGCGAATGCCGTTTGGCCTTTCAGGCGCCCCAGCAACATTTCAGCGATGCATGGACATTGTGTTAAGACCTGTTCTTCGGAAAGTCCACATTTATCTATTTAGACGATATCATTATTACTAGTGATAATCTCGACCAACATGTACAGGATTTAAGACAGGTGTTTTCTTTATTAAATGAGGCCGGTCTAAAAGTTAATGTCGAAAAAATGCAAATTTGCAGCCCCTGAATTAAAATATTTAGGTTACAAAATATCGCAAAAAGGGATCGAGACAGATGAATCAAAAATAATCGCTGTACAAAAGTATCCGACTCCAAACACGGCAAAGAAGCTCTCTTCTTTTCTAGGACTTTGTTCATATTATAGGTCCTTTATAAAAGATTTTGCGGCTATCGCTGAGCCATTGTTAAAATTAAAAAGGAAAAAGGCAAGATTCTCGTGGACGGCCGAAGCCAATAGTGCTTTCGAAAAATTAAAACAAGCATTAACGCAAGCCCCTGTGTTGAAATTTCCTGAAAAGGATGAAAATTTAGAAATTTCAGCGGATGCTTCGGATTATGCGGTAGGAGCGGTACTTTCGCAAAATCAGCAGCCCGTGGCATTTTTTAGCCGAACTTTAAATCAAACACAAAGAAACTATTCCGCGACCGAGAGAGAGGCACTTGCAGTTCTGTTAGCAGTGCAAAAGTTCCGAGTCTATTTTGGAAAGGCGCCGATAACAGTATATTCTGATCATGCGGCGGTAACTAGATTGTACTCAGGGAAAAAATTTATCCCCAAGGTTAATAAGATGGGCACTCAAGCTGCAAGAATATAATCTGGTAATCAAGCATACCCCCGGAAAGGAAAATATCGTAGCAGATGCCCTATCACGAATTAAATTAGACGAACAAGGGTAATACCGTAAAAGTTGCAATGCTGACAGCGTGTACAATAAATTCCCGAGAAACTGTAATAACCGAACTGGGTAAGGATCCTGAGTTTGGAAGTATTTATGAGTATTTGAAGGATCCTGAAAATTTTAGCCACCAAGATATTGTGGCGATAAGAAATAGGGCGGCCCATTACGAACTAATAGATGGTCTATTATTTTATACAAAAACTACGAATTCCAACAACGAATTTCGACCTGTTATCCCAGCTAGTCTTAGATTAAATATCCTGCAAGAGCTCCATGACAGCCCTTTAGCTTCTCATGCTGGTATTCGAAAAACTACTCCAACGCGTACGCGAGGCAGTCTACTTTCCTGAACTGCAAAAGTTAACAAGGGCGTATGTCCAGTCCTGCCCAACATGTCAAGCCGTTAATTATATTAATTTCCGCCCGGCCGGGTTTCTAAATAGTATTAAATCCGAATTTCCAAATGAAATAATTCGGCATCGATTTATTGGGCCCTTTCCCAAAAAGTCAGTTAAATAAAAGTCGCTATCTCCTTGTTATGGTTGATCATTTTAGTAAATGGACCGAAATTGTTCCCTTAAAACGAGCCTCCGCGAAATTAGTTACCGATTCTATTTTAAATAAATATATTTTAAAATACGGGGCGCCCCTAAAAGTTATATCGGATAATGGTCCTCAATTTGTAAGTAATATATTTGAAGACATGTGCCAAAAACTGGGCATACGTCATTTAAAAATGGTCCCGTATCGGCCGCAATCAAATATAGCGGAACGGGTCAACAGAAATATAGTGAAAATTATCCGTAGTTATGTTAAAAATTTTCATAAAAGCTGGGATAACTATGTCAATGAATTTGCTTTCGCCCTTAGGACCGCAAAACATGATACAACGGGCAAAACTCCTGCTGAGTTATTTCTAGGCAGAAAGATTATAACACCGTTAGATAAATTATTTTATGTGCAACAAAGAGCCCCAGAATTTAAAATGGGTGATATAGAAAAACTAATAAAAGAAGCAAAAAAGAATACGGA